AGTATTTACATACTTGACGTAATTTTAATTTTCTTGTAGATTTATAGACAGAAAATGGGGGGGAAGTAAAATGTATTTGTTTAAATAAACTTAAGCAGAAATATCTTGATTATTTTTTCATAATTTTGTGATCCTTATTTAAGGCATTTACATCAGTCATTGAGTTGCCAGCTGCAGAAGGAAATCCCAAGTGGATGGAACCTATTTGAATACAGTTTTTAAACATTATAATAATTGGTAGAGTAATTATTTTACACTGGAAGTACACTTTAATATTTCATATACTATCATTTAATCCATGCCATTTTGTGCTTTACAAAATGGGATCACTACAGTACACTTGTATTGTAATCAGTAGCTGGCATTCACCTATAGTACTAATTAAATCCTACAAACTATAAAGATATGAACCCTGATATTAAAAAAAAAAAAATCTGTCATCTGAAAATAGTAGACTTTTGCCATTATTTTGCAAGTCTGTAATTAACCACACCAGACAGGAGGCATGGAGAATTAAGCTCATGATAAATAATTGTTACACCATCCCAAATATTTTGATTATTTCTAACACCAGACCTGCCTCTTGGCCTCTTAATTTCTTTTTTCTTTTTTCTTTTCTCTCTTTCAGTGTAAAGGATAGAATGCAAATAGCCTTGTTGTGCAGGATTTTAAGCTAAAGGGAATGCGGCATGGTACTGTCCTGATCTCCCAGCATTGCCTGAGAGTCTTGTAAAAGTACAATACCATAACATAGGAAGGTCCTTGAGATTGCAGTAACAGTGTAATGTCATTAACCTTACTGAAGGTTGATATTTATGATTTTTGCACTGGAAAAGGTAGATTAGAATCAGGTTTCTGTGATTGCTCAGCATGACTCTAGGTTGTTTTAGGATAGCAATGCTAATAAGAAAAGAAATCCATATAAGAAAATTGTATAAGTAGCTGTATAGTTTAAGAAAAGTAAAATGCCTGTAGCAATATCCAGGTACACTTAAAGCACAGTGTTAACAATAGCAGTGCCTTTTCAAGCTCGCAGAGCCACATTCAATAAATGACTGCTTCCACCCCTGTGATATTACACTACATGAAATCATCATCTGTAACATGGTACCACTAAAATGACAACTTTAACTTTTGGTAGTTATTTATTTGGTGCTAAAAATTCTTCTGATGCCCACCCCCAGCCCCCGTGACACATACAGAGAAGTGCACAGAATTTTTCAGCACCTCATGCATGAAATACTGTATCGCAGTAACTGCTGATGTAGGACAAATACCCAGCCAGATCCACTAAGTGGACCTCATTTTGCTGCATGACCCAACCTGCGTGAGGAAGCACGTAGCAACATCAACAGGGTTTCAGTAATGACGGTGAGGAGGGTAGAGTCAGAGGAGCAGCGGATGCTCAGCATCGTCTCTGTTTGTGTTCACTATTACAGGTTTCATCTGTTGAATTTCATGGATTAGAAGAAAAAAATGCTTAAAATCAAAAACAAATTAACTGGTATCTTTGTTTTAACCATAAAAACATAGATGTGCTCCAGATTTCATTTAAAAAAATAATTTGTTTTAAAACCCCCCCCGAAACCTTTTTCTCCTAGCATGCACATGTGATCACTCAAAGGGGAAAGCGGACTTTCGGTTTATATTCCTATCACGGTTCAATTTTAATACCGAGGACCAGCTAACACGACAAAGCTGTCGGCTCATCCCGCTTCGACTAGTTGAATCGCCGGCAGGCAGCCGCGCAGGCAGCGCGGGCGCGGTATTGGCACCGGGCTCCGGCAGCCCCCAGGCAGCCAAGGCAGGCTGCGCGCCCCGCGTGTCCTCCGCGCCGCTTCCTTCCTTTGTTCTGCAGCCGTGCCTCGCTGCGCCCACCGCTGCCCCGTCCGCGTCTCCTGCCTGCAGTTTCCCGCATTTCCAGTAGATGCCCCCAGAGACCATTAAACCTCCTGAAGGTCTCTGCGGGAAGCAAAGGCAAGGCCAGTCTTGTTTCATTTTGCTGCTCGAAGTAACGTGGTTGCTCAGAGGCAACCTGAAATCGGCGTGGCGGCAACGCAGAAAAACAAACTTACGCGTTTGATAATACATCGTCGGTTATTAGATAGTAAGGTTCGAAAGGTTTAGTGTAAGCCGGGCGGAGGTTACACTCCTTTTAGTGGAGGAGGTGCCTACTGTTAACAGTTGGATTTTACAAAATAAGCCATGTACATTTAATTAGGTATTGGTTTTTGACATTGACAGTAGAAATAAAGTAATCTTCGGTTGTGTAAAACACGAGGTGTTCTGTTTAACCTCTCATTTTACATGCTGCATGACGTCATAAAAAGCAGTGTGAAAAGGATCTTGAGGATTGAGGATTTACGGTTCATCTCAAGATACCATGAAAAGTTTACTTCTGCCACCATCACTACTCCTCTGTTCAAAAGCACTGTTGGAAAAAAAGGACACTGGCACTTTCATCTGGAGCCACTTTGATAACTGAAACAATTTTAGAATTTGTTGCGGTGTCAAGCTCTCACAAATACCATTCACTATTCATCCCCCATAATGTTTCTAGCCTTATTTTACTGTTTGTGTGCTATCAGTCACTTGTGGCTTATATACTGCAGAAACTTAAGGAAACAATAGTGGTATTGTTTGTGCTTTGTGTATTTTCTGTTCTTAAGTATAACTGAGAGAAAACTTTTCTCTTTATACCTCTAAAATTTGCATGGTTATACAGCAGATAGATAGCTTCATTGCTTGTGAGTTAAAATCAGTTATCTTTGCCGGCGAAAAAGATGTACCCTGTACCATATGATTACCGCAGCGTTATTTCAATTTCTTTATTAATTGGGATGGGATTTATTAAAAGAATATTGACACTAATTTTTAAAACAGACCTATTTTACTGTATGTTTTGTTTTCCTGTATCGGTTTGCTAATAATGCTGTCTTGCGGGGAAAATGTGCTTGGACCTCAAGTAAAATGCATCTGTCTACTGGAAATAACGTGTCACATGGACACAGTTTTTCTACTTATACAAATATTGGTACTGTGCTCAGTGACTATGCAGTGAGGGTTAAAAATTAACTGAATGACATTTTGTTTAGTCACTGTTAAGATCTTTTAGCAGTATTTTCGTGTTTACTTCTGGTAGATCTAATGATCTAATACATGCATACATATATACACATATAGATCACATTAAATAAACATGCATGTGTGTGTGTGTGTCTGCTGTACAGATTGTTATTCCATTGCTCTGAGTTATATTACTGTAGGATTCAGTCCTAGGCCTTTGGAAGTTGGTAGGAATTTTTTACCTATATTCTTCAATTTTTCTTAGTTAGATAGAATTTTAAAACAGAAAATAGAAAGCATTCCATATGCAGATTAGAGAATACATTGTACTGTATTAACATAATATCTTTACAGTATTTTTTAAGCTATATACTGTGCATCTGAGATATGACAGATATAGCGTATTCTGGCAAATTAAAATGTAAATGTTTAAAGATATTTCTCATTTACTTTCCTAAGATAAATGTTGCAAATGTTTTCTGGTACAGAATAGTTATATATTTTCGCTTGCCTCTGTGAACAATGTATGCTTTTCAATCTCAAAAAACCACCTATTTATATATTCAACATAAATTCAGTACTGTCTAGTCTAAATCATATCAAGATTTTGTAGTATGTTTGTGTTCAGCTCTGAAAATGAAATGTAAAAAATATGTATGGAAGATTAATATGCATCAGTATAGTAATTAATAGGTTTTATTTTAATTATATTAAATATGAAATAATGCAGATTATTGCCTTCTTACATCTCACATTACTGTTTATTTCCTTGACATCTAGCTAAGAAGTTTTTTCATCACTTCCATTTTATTAGCATTGTTAAAGAACTGCAGTGGCTCTTTTTAGGCTAGAAGTATTTGTCTCATTAGGCTATTGTTTAGCATGAGCTCATCTGAATTTATTACATACACTGTAAATATCAGTTTTCAGAATTCCGTATTTATTTTAAAGCTGCTGAGAATTTGAAGTTAAATGGATTTTGAACTAAAAAGACAGTCTTGAAAAGAGTTTGGAAACTTAATAGAATATACAAAATAAAATTAACACATCTGGGTCCTTGCCGTTTGACTGGGACAAAGGTTTGTTTTCTCACACTAGATACCTATGCCTGAAAACCTTTACATCTGTACTTTTGTGTTGCAGGCAGTCCCATTGGACTCATAGTTTTCTTCAGGATAGGACACAATGATTGTTTCATGCCACATAAAAGAAATATTTTTATTATTTCCATAAATAATACCTCAAAAGATATATTACCTCTTGAGAATATTTGATTACACAACTTTTTGGTACGTATATCTTATCAGAGTTTATGAATGAGATAGGTTTGATATAAATTCATCATTGCATAATTTGATTTTAAAGTTAGGGAGAAATTATCGAACTTCTGCATCAGTAAACCAGTCCCAGCTGAAGTTATATGCTAAACAGAAGCAAAATAATACCTAATGATTATGTTTCCAGCGTAGCATTTGTTTGACGTTTTAAACCAAGCCATCATGTCCTACAGCAAAACTATTTAACATATACATTGTTTTGACATGTGCAATGTGCCTCATTTTTCCCTGTGCACTGTTTTAAAGCAAACTAAGAGTTCATTGTGTTTTCATGAACTAATGTAAACACGGGTTTTTTTCCCATCACTCAGCCTTTTTTACCAATTCCAGCTAAAGAATACCAGTGTATTTTAACATGTTTTCAATACATATATTGGTATTTATTCATTATTGCCATATTTACTTCCCTAGGGCATGACATTCGTAATCATATTTTAGCAGAACGCTTTCTGAGCAGGGGGAGAAAAATGCCCCTTCCCCGCAGCTGAACTGCAGAGGTCTCTTCCTGAAAGCTGTTTTCGTTACCTGTACTGATTTGGTAAGGTGGAGAACAGAATACGGGTTTCAAGGCTTAAAATCTCTCTTTCATTTTCCCAGTAACAGGAATTCGTACAAGAAGAACATCTGCATAGACATGCTGCGACAGGGTTATCACGAGTCCTTCGCCCAGCTCCTCACTCTGATACAGAAGTGGAATGCCTCGAGGGAGGCTGCGGGGCCTGGGTCAGCCATATGGCAGCTGGAGTCCCTGGAGGAGCAGCCTGATAAGCTGGATCAGCTTTACCACTTCCTGACCAGGGCCGAGGCAGCCCGGCGAGCAGGTACGTGGGGGGTTGTGGGTAGCAGAGCAGGGGCAGCCGCAGCCGCGAATGCCTGGGGGAAGCTTCCAAATTGTTTCATGTATGAATCTGAAAACGTTACTGCATCTTAGCACATTTCAGCCTTAGTCAACTCGGCTGTATTTATAGAATAAATGATCGGGAACTGCAGATACCGAGAGGTTTCGTGAGGAAGAAAGGAAAAAAAGGGGAAAAGGTGTAGTGTGCATTGTGATAGCATCACAAACGTTTGATGTATTTATAGCCTTGATAACATCTCAATTATTTTCTCATAGTTTCATTATTTATTGTTTTTCTTTCTCTATTGATTTGAGTAGCTGGTTTTGTGTTAGAAAAATTTAATAGGTGAAATGCTGTTTCACAGCGTAATGGTTTTATAAATCTGATTTTATTAAATACTCTGTCTGCTAACTGTGTTTGGATTTGTGACTGACTTAAAAAGGATTGTGAATGTGTCAAATAAAATGCAGCACACAGATGTAACATGCCACCTGTGAATTACTAGATATTAGTGAAGACATAACTCCAAATTACTGTATTTTCTCTATTGCCTACTATTTACTAAGCGCTCATATTTATCATTTCTTTTTACTACAAATAGTAACATAACTTATTCTGTCTTTCTCCTTTGGAATAATTGTAGGGATGGAGGCAGATAAAGCTCTAACTGCAATCCTGTTTCGTGGCTGGGCTGATTTCGCTATAGTTGGCTTGTTTCAAGTTGCATTTTGACCATTACAAATATGAAAGTCTATGATAAAGCTTGTGAGTTTGAAACCTAAGCTTTTTGACTGAAATTTAGAAACAGACAACTTCAGTTTTTAAAGGAACGACAAAAAAAACCCTTTCAGCACTTTGAAAAGTGTTCATTTAAAATGTTTATTTTATGTTTACTATGAAAGCCAAAAGTTGTGTTTCTTTATTTAATTCACTGTAATTCTAGGCAGGAAGTCTAGCCAGCCCATAATTGGGAGGAATCTTCAGATTTGTCTGGAGTATGACAAAAACCTGAATGCACCCCCGTAGCTTGCAGGAGTACAAGAGAGAAGTTTTGAGCTCAAACTGCCCTGACAAAAGCATGCTGCCAATAGTTTGATGTTCAAAAGGCAGTAGATACAGCTTGTCTTGATGGGCCTGCTTCCTGCAGCTGCCTGAGGAGAGCATTTTGCCTTCCTTCGGTGCATGATATTTTTCAGTGTTACAAGCTGGTATGTGACAACAGAGTTGGCAAACACGCTCCCAGAGAGTCAGGGTGCTGCTGACTGTGCAGTTTCTGCCCCTGTGAAAGGCAGGCGCCCTTCCTCTCACTGAACCCAGCATTCACTGTGTGCTGGGCTCTGTAAGTCTCTCACCTCTCACAGAGCCAAGATACCACCAATCGTCTGATTGCATCGTGCCTCTAGGAGAGAATATCTCCCAACTTTGCCTGTTAAAGTTGATTAAAATGAAAGAAGAGAAAATAATGAGAACGTGCCAATAGAGTTGGCAAGCATCTTTGCTAAATTGCTAGATCAAGGTATAGTTAAGTTTTTATTTTTTCACCAGTTTCAATCCAAACCTTTGCACAAATCTCTTGCTTGTTTTAAGTGAGGCTTGAGTAACCTGGCACGTGAAGGGTTGGATGCTAATTCATGTTGCAGGTGTTAGAGCTAGTAGTGCTGTGAAGATAACATATGAATTATACAGCTCATCAAATACTAATTCAGTAGGTCCACTAATCCAGTTACTTTCTGATTCTAATCAAATTGCTTGGGGCTCTGGTTTATGATCTCCTGACAACTCTAGTTGACACCAATTTACAAAGTGTTTAGCAGTTCACCTCAGCTGGAACTTACCATGATGTAGGAGTCACAACAGCAGCTGACCTGCATTTGCTCTTCAGCCACCACAGTTCAAGCTTAAAAGGCTGAAAATAATATTTGGGGCTAGAAACTGTGAGAGTTTCACAGTGTGGCTGATGTCACTGATACTGGGCTAGCTGAAAATGTACCTGTCTCAGGTATGCTGCCCTGAGCTAACAGTTGTGTTGAAGAAGAGATAACAGGTATAAATTATGGGAGGGGAAAAAAAAAAATCTTCATGACTTGTTAAGTTTTTTTGATTAATTTAATCTTCATGAAGGGACTGTTTTTAAACCTGAAGTGGTAAGTGGAAAACAAAACTTCACTTACTATGTCAGTAAATAACTTTCTTATTTGTTATTTAATATTTCTTACTTGATATTTTTGTATCATAGATTGTTGCTGTCTTAATTATGAATATAACTTAGAGCTGCTCCTCCCAACTTTAGAGTTTTATGGTTGTTACCATAGTGCACAGAGAAAGCTAGGTATTAATTAACTTTCCATATTTTTTGGCAGAATATGTTGATCTCGTCTTTTTGACAGTTTGTAGTTATAGGACACTGTAATGCTGGACATAAATTGTTTGATTGAACAGAACCAGTGCTATCCATCACAATGTGGAGGCTGATGTCAAAGAGCAATTATTTTCTTTACTGCTGCATTTGAAAACAGTGACATTTTGTTTACCAGCATTATATTGTACAGACTGTTTACTTTTATGTACACCAGCGAATGTTCTCTCTGTTTTCATTTTTAGTGGAACATTTTGGTTTAACTTCAAATCATACAGAAGTTGTCTTTTTTTTAAATTGGCTATTACCAATATTATACTGTGTGCAAAGCAAATACCTTTTTTTCTGCCCGACTTACTCTCATTGTCATTGTATTTGAATACCTCCCAAGTATTTAAAAACAGAGAGCTAGCATTAATCCTTGCAGCTTCTCAGAAAAATAGCTGACAGAGTTATTTTGCCCTAAGTACAGCATTATTCCCAAAACACTGGCAGAAATATGGGCAATACTTGACTGCATTCCTATTTGGTCTTTTTTGATGCAAATAATGTAAATGTTTCTGACTTCACAATTGAATTGTTTTTAATTATTCCTTGATCTTCCTTCATTATCATGGACTAACGTCTCTTTTTACTAGTTCTGGTCTCAGTAGCTTAAAGAAAAGAGATAGTTAGCTGTTTAAATATGTATAGTTGTAGGGTTTTTTACAGAAGAATACAGGATAAATGCCAAAGCAATCTACATAGCTCAGCATTTGATGAATACAGTTATTTCTTGCTGCACGTATGAAAATGGGTTTTTTTCAAAAAGAAAGTTGTATTTTGAGGCCATTGGATGGCCTGCCCGATTGCCGCCTTGCCTGCCTGATTGTACTGCTCAGAGTAATTTCACTTAAAGGTATAATTGTCCTCAAAAGGTATAACACAGTGCTGGCAGGTTGTTGTTGCTATCCCTTTGAAAAGCCATAGCTCCCTAGCCCCTACTCAGTACTGTTCTGCGAGTTAGCAGGAGGGAGAGTTTGAAGCCACAGTGCATCCTTGTCTGACATTAAGGGCTGCTAACTAAATACCCTTTGGCTGCTGACACCCTGTGAACAAATGATGACCATACCCTACAGAGGTGTGCTAACTGAATAGAATTCTTTTTGTTCATTTTGTCTGTCTAAGACCCAGACAAAACGTGACACTCTATCTCTGTGTGTTTGGGTAGGTCATGGGGGAAAAAGTAGGAACAAAGGAAATCCAACTAAGTAGTCTTTTACTTGTATTTTTGAACAGCACCTAGTGTAATGTGTGCCTTTTCATTATAATGATAATGTGGCTGTTCCTCAGATAAAAATATTTTAAAGTGAGATTAAAACCTTTAAGCTGGTATTTACACAGACTTTTACCATATGAACGTAACTGATTCTTTAAATCACTACTTGGCTGCTACCGTCTGTTTTATTGTTTTAAAATGCATTGCTAATTTACTTGTTGAATCTGTATGCTCATTAGACTAAGCCACTTCTTTGAATCATCTTGTCAAAGTATTGTGTAGCTACTTTTAGTTAGTTAGTTAGCACTGAGTCTACCAGTAGAATGATTGATAGTATGCAGATGATACTGTAAAGCATCAATCATGTGTTTTAGAGTGAGGCCAGCGTCTCAGTGATAGTGTGCTAAATTTGGTTTTTTGTCAAATTGGAGGTCACCTGTTCCAATATTATTTCAGAAGTACTTGAAAAGCATTGCTCTTCAGATTGCATCTGAATTGCATATTAAATGTAGGCTTGAACCCTAACTGAATCCTTAGCTAGGACTAGCAGAGGCCTTGAAGAGCTCATATGATCAGTGCTTGCTAGAGTGAGCTGGTTTACTTGCATTGTACAAGTTGAAGGGGATGCAGGGCAAGTTACAGCTCAAGAGCAATTAAAGGGGAGATGTCTCAGTCATTGGCTCTGTTTTGCCAGAGCAGGGGAGCAAAACCATGGAAAATGCCACAACCCAGTGGCTGCAAAGAGTATTGAGCAGTCAGCGCTATAGCAGCAGATCACTGTGTTCACTGTGCCAAAGCCAGTGCACGGAACCTTATACTCAGGTATGAATGTGCCTTCAGAGGAGTAAGACACTGCTTATTAGTTGGTCACTGGGGCAGCTGATGGAGAGTAGGAGTTAAGATCTGGAAGCTGTTGCCCTTCTCAGATTCCGTCTGCTCCTGCTTCCTGACCCCAGGCAACCTTTGTGGTATGCTGTATGCTGAACCTGTGCATGCGCTACAGGCTGCTGACCCTTGTTCTAGCGAATATCAGACACACAGAATTAGAAGGAAGTGCTAAATTGACTCTTTTCTCTCACTTGAGTGTAGAGAAAACTTTTGACAGTATGAGTTATCATTTGTTGTTGTAAAAGATGACTTTTCATGAAGTATATGAAGAAAGCATGAGTATTTGATGTATTTGCACTGGAAAATCTTTCTTTGTCTGAGGTACTTAAGGTTGAAAACAGAGTTTAGCATTTTACAGTGGAAAGCTCTTCTGTAAGATTTCACACTTATGCCTTAGGCTGGGCTAGAAACATTGCAATAACCGTATTACCCATGCTATTTTGGAAAAAAAATGGAAAGAGGTTATGCATTAATAAACAT